AGAAAATGAATACCAAGAACCTACAACCAAGATTACTTTATCCAGGAAAGCTCTCATTCAGAACTGAAGGTCAGATAAAGAGCATCACAGATAAGGAAAAGCTAAAGGAGTTCATCACCACCAAAGTGTATTATATGAAATGCTGAAAAGTATCCTTTAAGAAGAGGAAGAAGAAGAAAAAGATACAAATTATGAACAACAAATACACATCTATCAACAAGTGAATCTAAAAATCAAGTGAATAAATAATCTGATGAACAGTAAAAAAAAAAATTAACAGATGTTTGTGATGTTAAAATAATATAAAAGGGAAACCCCTGTATCTCTTCCTACCTTTCCCTTCCCCCACTTAATTTCATTTCCCAGAGGCAACTACTTAAAAAAAACAAAAACAAAAACAAACAAACAAAATTTTGGAGTATATCCTCTCACACTTTTTGTTTGTTTCTCTTGCAGTAATTTTAAACTTATCCCTAGACATTTTTTATGGTTAGGAGGAACTAGAACAACATTGCCATTTAGCCTCTTACAGATTTTGGAACTTTTTCATACACTGCTTATGTTAAACATTGAGTAAAAACAATGCTTTTTTTACTTTTGTAAAAATAAAAGCAACTGAGACAGGCAGATTATGACGTTAATGAAACACGCTCCATGAGTCTCTTCTAAGGCTCTAGGAAAGTTTGTCTTTCCACTATAATCTCACTTACACATAAGTTATTGCTGGCTGTCTTCATTTAGCAATAGGTTCCAGGAATAATTCAAATGACCCTGACATCTTGTCATGGAGGTAAGGACTAGAGGTTATAATGTGATATGACTATATGGATGCCACTGGAAGTATGTGGGTAGTGTGGTAAAAACAAGGATTGAAGCATGAGCCAGAAGCTAGTCTAGGGAAAATTATTCATATATATATATATATTTATATTGTAAGTGGAAATTTTTGTTCTCACTGATGTCAACCCACAATGGAAATTCTCTCCTGTCAGGAATATACTCAATAATGCAATGCATATAATTTAAAATCCACCATATATTTTCTTTTTCTTTTTTTTTTAAATGGGAATCACCTGAAATAGAATTAATCAGAATTTCTATAGCAATACTACCAACAACCTGTACTATATGTGAGAAGTGATTTTTTTATGCATCCCAGCTATCAGCAATAAAAACAAATTGATCAACCATGCCAGAAACTAAAAACTAAAAAATATTTTTATCCTATTAAAAAGTTATTTTAAAAACCACTATCATATTTATAGTACTTTAAAAAACAAACAGGTTTTGGGTACAAAACCTGTCATATAACAGTGTCCCAGCAAAGGATATCTATTAAGAGAAAAAAAATCATCATAGTAAGAGGTAATCAAAGAGAATGCAAGTTCCTATTCTTTTACTTGACAAAGAGTGTTATATATAGAAACAGAAGAGCAATTGTCAGAATCAAGGCCTTCTTAAATATTAAATGGTTAGATTTCAAAACTTAGAGGAATGAAAATGTCTATAGCAGGGGAAACTTTGGGTAAATAATTTAATTTTGAAGGAGGAAACTTTAGAAACCATTTTGTCTGTAATTTGAATTTATCTTGGCTGCCTTATGGCCAGTCTCCACATAATACGGTTTTCAGAAGACACACAGGTCTGATATCCAAAAAAGAAATGAAAAGTAATTTAGACTGCTAGGGAAGATTTTTAAAGAGGCATCAAAAAAGGAAAAGTATACTGCAAGACAGTAACAAAATGTGTGCGTGTTTTTTTAATGTTGGTTTTTAATTGATTTTAGGGAGAGAGAGGAAGGGAGAAACAGATTTACTGTTCCACTTATTCATGCATTCATTGGCTGGTTTTTGCATGTGCTCTGACTGGGGATAGAACTCACAACCTTGATGAATTGGGACAATGTTCTAACCAGGGAGCAACAAAATGTTTAACAATCCTTTCGACCATCTAATTCCTCTCAGTCCCTCTCATTATGGCAGTTGCTACCTCTTATTTCTCATCTCCATTCTTCATTCTGTTTCTCTCTCCTGCAACTCTCTAGAACAGCGGTTCTCAACCTGTGGGTCGCGACCCTTTGGGGGTCGAACGACCCTTTCACAGGGGTCGCCTAAGACAATCGGAAAACACATATATAATTACATATTGTTTTTGTGATGAATCACTATGCTTTAATTATGTTCAATTTCTAACAATGAAAATACATCCTGCATATCAGATACTTACATTACGATTCATAACAGTAGCAAAATTACAGTTATGAAGTAGCAACGAAAATAATTTTATGGTTGGGGGTCACCACAACATGAGGAACTGTATTAAAGGGTTGTGGCATTAGGAAGGTTGAGAACCACTGCTCTAGAATGACTCTTATTCTCCTCTTTCTAACTCAGTTCTTTATTATTGCATAGATCAATTTAGTCCCTGAGCACCTTAAGTTCTCCTCTTATTACTCTGATCCACATAACCAAGTCCCCGGAGGGGCTTTGGAAACTAGAGGAAGGTCTTTGGAAGGATGAAGAATAGGGGTGGGTGGGGGAAGGAGGAGGAAGATAAAGGCTCTGTATACTTAGATATTTTGGTTATGAGACCAGTCCTCCCATTTGTAAATGAATTAAGTGAGGCCCAAATAAGTTCAGTGGCTTTATATTCACCTATTGAGTCACATGGAGTTGGGCCTAAAACTCAGCCTTACTTCATTTCAACCCTTTGTCATATATACAGTTCCCTAGTAGGCAATTAATCCTATCATCTGCTGTAGAAGAGGTCCCTTCACATCCCTTGTGGAAAGAACACCAGGAGGAGTTAAGAAGCCGGGGTTCTTGTTCTGCTTCTACCAGGCTCCATGTCCTTGGGCAGCCATGTCCTTTCTAAGGCTCAGCGTCCAACTTAAAGGGGAGGCAGGTTGAACTCTTGGGCCCTGTCCAGCACTAACGTTCTTTGCTTCCGGTTGTCTTGGGTCCTGTGGCTGTAGCAATGGTGGCCTTGAGTTAGTCAAGAAGACTTGCTCCTATTTGTCCTTTACTCAATTGGGGCAGAGGGTGAACCCGGGGAAGAAGGGATCCTTTCCAGCACGTGGTTGCCTCTTCAGTGTCCTAGCAGTATAGACAGGGTGACCATCTCCTGGTAGGCGGGGGTG